AGGGAAGCCGACTGCCGGGCCTTCACCCGCCGTGCAGCTCAGGGGGACATGGAGCTGCTGGCCAACCTGCCTGACCAGAGGGTCACCCTCCAGCACTTGGCCTTGGCCTGCCTGGTAGGCCCCTTGAGTGGGACAGGGTGAGCAGGTGGTCCATGGGGCCAGGCTCTCGCTGACCTGCTGTCCTGCAGGGAGGACCACACCCTCGGCTCAGCGCTTCCAACCTCCTGCTCCTCGGAGTCCTGGTGTGCGACATGGATGCGTCCAGCATTGTGACCTCAGACCCCCATGTGCTGCAGAACCTGCAGCGCTGCCCCCGGCTGACCCCTGCCCAGCAGGCCGCCCTGAACACACTGCTGGCAAAAGGGAGGACCATGCTCGGGTAGGCGGGGCCCCATCCCCCCTGCCCAGGCCTCCCTTCCTGGAGATGAGACAAGAGGCAGCCTGGACTTTGGGCCCAGGAAGTCGCTGAATTCCACAGCCCTGGGGACCTCCAACTTCTCACCCAGCTCACAGCCCTACTCTGACCTTGCGGTCTTTGGGACACAGGTTTGGGGTGCTGCCAACACTTGCTGGGCTCCTCAATCCGCATGCCCTGAAGCCTGGGGTGGGAGTCTCTTCTGGGCAGGCGAGGTGTCTCCAGCAGGGCAGAGCCTGGGAACTGTGTACTCAGGGAAAGGCAGGTAGCCTCCAGGGGCTGGGGTGCTACTCCAGACCTGGACACAACAGTCCATTCCCACACACCAGGACCCCTAGCTCTTGGAACCTGGAGGGGCTGCAGGCTCTGGGGTCCCTGGCCACCTACATCAGCCCAAGCCTATGGATGCAGGTGCAGGAGGTAGGACGGTGCCCTGGGACAGGGTTGGGGATTCAAGCTGGCATTGGACACAGGGAGGGGCATCCAGCCGACCCTCTATCAGCCTGTCCAGGCCTGAGGGTTGGCCGTGTGGCCACTCTATCTCCCGTGTGGTGTCCCCAGTCACTCCTGTCACAGGGTTTCTATCTGTGGGGGTTGGAGGAGGGGCCAGGTGGCCCAGGGTGTAGAGTCTCCAGCCCCCCTGCCAGGCCGTGGGCCTGGCCTTCTTCAGCAGCATGGTGGCCAAGTACCGGGCAGGGACACTCAGCCAGCGGGATGCCAGGCGCTTTGTCACCAGCTTCCTCGAGGCCAAGGCCAAGTCAGTGTCCTCACGGCCCAAGCGGGGCACAGGTGAGTGTGGCCACTGTGGCCTGGGGACTCTGCACCTCCCCTGCTCTGGACTCCTGACCCCAAGGTGAGGGCACCCAAGACACTGAGCTTGGCCCAGGGATCTGCATCTAGTCTGGGTAGGTCAGAGGCAGTGGGGCTAGACTTCAGGACCGGGGCTGGGCTGGGCATCAAGGTCGAGGTCAGGCTTGACTCAGTCTTCTCTGGGCCAAGTTCTTGGCTAGGCGTCAAGCCTGGGGAGAGACTCAAGGGTGGGTCAGGGTTACAAGTGAGGTGGAGCCTCAAGTCAGCAGCAGTGGTCAACTAGGGCCATGGCTGAGCAGTAGGATCATCAACCCCACCCCACCCCTAGCCACAGGGAGACCGTGCGTCCGTGGCAACATCACAGCAGCCATGCTGCAAGACGACCTCTTCTTGGTACGCTACGACTGCTCACAGCTCGAGTCCTGCCTGGACAGCCGTGTGCTCAGGGCCAACTTGGACCCCCTGCTGCAGCACCCACTGCCCTCTGAGTGTCAGCGTGTCGTCAAGGCCAAGCTAGCTCGGGTGCGCTGAGGACCAGGTGGAAGTGGGTGGGCGTTGGGTGCTGGGCGCTGGGTGGTGGGGCCTGATCCCCTCACCCCTCCCAGATCTACCCGAGCGGCATCCCAGAGGAGCAGCTGCAGCTCATCACCTCGCTGGTCTACCTCTACTCCTGCACGGAGATTGGCCAGTGGAACATCACATCCAGGGCCACGGTCATGGCCCTGCTGGCCTCAGACGTGGCCCTGGAGAACCAGACGGAGGTGAGAGCAGTGGGAGTGGGACAGGGTGCTAAGGAGGCCCTGGCCCCTGGCCCCGCCCCCTCCCAGCCCCACTGACCCCCAACCTGCCCCCAGGCCATCCTGCAGAAGTTCCTAGAGCACAAAGGCAGTGTCACCAGTGCCCTGCTTGTGGCCATTGGAGGCTCCCGTCTCTGCTGGATGAGCCCCCAGCAGATCCAGGCCATCCAGCCCTCAGAGTTCCGGTGAGCCCCGCCCCCCCACCGCACCTCAGGGTCAGCTCCACTCCTCACCAAGGGTTAGAGGGAGAGCCTGAAGCTCAGGAAGGTTCTGGGCCAGGCCACCGCAGGTGTGTGAGTTTCCCACAGCTGCTGAAACAAAGAACTTCAAAGAGAGGGTTTTAAAAGAACAGCAATGGGGGCGGCCGGTTAGCTCAGTTGGTTGGAGCATGGTGCTAATAACACCAAGGTCACCGGTTTGATCCCCGCATGGGCCCCTGAGCTGTGCCCTCCTTGGAAAAAAAAAAAAAAGAACAGAAATGTATTCTCTCACAATCTGGAGAACAAAAGTCTGGAATTAAGGTGTTGGCAGGGCCAGGCTCCCCCCTGAATCCTGTAGCGGAGGCCCCTTCATGCCCTTTCCAGCTTCTGGCGTTGCCAGCCATCCTTAGCTTTCCTTGGCTTGTGACCTCATCACTTCATCTCTGCCTCCGTCATCACATGGCTGTCACCCCCCCACCCCACCCCCCGTGTCTGTGTCTAAATTTCTTATGACACCAGCCGTTAGATTTAGAGCCACCCTCACTCAGTAGGACCGCATCTTACTTTGATTATATCTACAAATACGAAAGACCCCATTTCCAAATAAGGTCACATTCTGAAGTTTTGGGGTACACATAAATTTGGGGGAGACACTATTGGCCCAGTACAGAGGGCAAGAGGACAGCTGTGATCCGGGGAGAGGGCCAAGCCCAGCCTACCCATCGGCCCTCCCCCCTCCCCAGGCTGGCCGGGGCCCTGGATATCTCCTCCTGCCCCCAGACCCGAAAGGACGTGCTCTATGCCAAGGCCCGAGAGGCCTTCAGCAGCACCGGGACCACCATGGCCGCCTACTACCACTTCATGCGCCCCTATCTCGGTGAGACCCTGCCCTGTGTGCAGACACCCCTCCTCCAGAAGCCGCACCCCCTCCCCTCTTACCACTTCCCAGCCCCCAGGCGGTGCCCCGGTGGAGGAGCTGCAGTACCTGGCCCAGGCAAACATCTCCATGGACATCCACACTTTCACCAACCTGAACCCCCACGTACTGCAGGTGGGCTGCCCCGGGGGATAGTGGGGCAAGCTGGCCAAGCTGGGGAAGCCCTAGGCCACAGGTCCACAGGCACCCCAAAGTCAGAGGTGCAGACAGGTGGGCCCCAGGTCACTTCTCCAGGCTGGTTCTGCCAGGCCTTACCTCAGTGCTCACTCTTCGGGTTAGCACTGCCCTTGCTGGGTCTCCCCTCAGCCCCGAAGCCAGGCCCCAGCAGGACCCTCTGTCTCTCCCCCTCGGCCCCCTCACTTCCCTCACAGAACCTAAGTGTCGACAAGGTGACGACACTGCTGGGCCAGAACGTGGGGGACCTGCAGAAGGCACGCAGCAACCCGACCATCAGCTCCTGGCTCCGCAGCCTGAACAGGTCGGCCCTGGGTGAGCTGGGCCTGGACACGGTCTCCACTGGCCCCACTGGCCCAGCCCGCTTGACCACTGTGATTCCCAACACCATCCCATGGGTGCCCCACATAGCCATCACATCGGACAGGCCTGGGAATGAGGCCCCCACCTCGGGTACGGCCCCACAACCAGCCCTCCCCCTTGCGAGGCCTTCCCCTGCCTCTGCTTGGCTCTGTCTGCCCAGGGCCTCTGTGGATCCCTCAACTGCTGCTTGTGCCCAATCTCTTTCTGGCCATCTCTTTTTCCATTTGTCTCCTCGGGTGCCATTTTGTGACACTGGCTTCACCCTGTTTCATCCACTGAATTATTGAAGGACGCAATTGCCTTCTCCAGGGCCCACTGATCTGCATAAAGTAGGGGTAGGGGAACTTCTGAGATCCCTGTTGGGGCCCAGAAGAGTGGCTGCACATGGGGGTCCCCACTGACTATTCCCACCCAAAGGGATAGTATGAGTCTTGAGCCCCGAGGGAAGGGCTGTCCAGACCAGGGAGGCTGCTGGGACGGTCCTGGGCATGGCTCCCAGCCAGGACTGATGGGTGCCCCCTCCATGTTCCGCCTACAGGCAGCCCACCAGCTCACCTGGGGTACCTGCCACTTGCTGTGGCCCTGCCCTCTAGCCTCCTGTGGCTACTCTATTGGGGCACCCTGGGTCCCGGCTGGGACTGCTCATGGGGCACCTGCACGATGGCCTCCAAACACAGCACTGTCCTGGCACCACATGCAGGAAAAACGGGGGTAGATGGAGTCGGACACACCTGCCCAGGCCTCAGTGCAAGCCCCAGGCCCACGGGACCTGGCCATGTCCCACATCATAGGAGCCTGCAGGGCCGGTCCCCACCCATATCCGGCTCCCAGGACCTGGAGCTGGACTGAGGGCCTGGGCAGATTTCAGCCAGCTGAGGGAGCCACTGTCCCAACCCTCTGGCCTCCTTCAAGACAAAGAACTGGGGGTGGGGAGCATGGCACTTACGTCGCTGATTAATTTAAATAAAGGACAAGGTGATCTTCTTGCCTGTGTCCCTTTGCTCTGGGCCAGAGAAGGGGCACAGAGACCCTCTCAGCCAGAAACAGCGTTCCCACCCACCATCTCCTGGGGAGTCAGTGTCACCAGAAGCCACCCTGGCTTTGTTGGCCTGGCCTGGAGAGAAACCCCGGCAATGGAACAGCGTCAGGAAGGTCCCAAGACCCCTCTGCCTGGAGTCCCTGCCCTGGGCCCCCCTGGGTACCTTTCCAAATACAAATAGGAGGGGATGCAACTCAGGGAGCCATGTCCACAGGGTCACAGCCTTCAGTCACCCTCCCCCAGAACACCACAGGTCACCTCTATGGAGGGTGAATATGTTCTCTTTTATTGAGCTCCAGGCCCCTGGGGTGGGGCAGGGCCCACTCAGACCTGCTCCCACCAGGCGGGGCTCCACCAGGCAGGCCTCAGTCCCCCGCAGGCGGGCTCAGTTTTGGATCAAAGCCAGGAGCAGAGCTGGGATCATAGCCAGGAGCGCAGGTCCAGGTCCAGGGAGGTGGAGGGCCCCAGAGAAGGCCTCTGCAAAGAGAGGGGGTGACCTAGACCCTCCACCTCACTCGGCCCCGCCCCCCCCTCGCCCCCCTAGCTGGCCGGTCACCCCAGCCCACCTCGGACATTGAGGTCTAGAACCAGGTATCCGTTGGGGATGCCAACGTGGAGTCCCAGCCCCAGGCTGTCCAGGTCGTCCTGCCGCTGCCGCAAGAGCCAGTCCCGAACCGGGCTGTTCCCCTCCTCCACCTTCAGGCCCGCCAGGTTTGGACCCAGAAGTTTTTGCACCTCGGCAATGGTCATTGGCTGCCAGAGCCCCGGGGCAGCCGTTAGGGTCTCCCCGCCTCTCTCAAGAAGGCTGCTGGGCTCTGCTGTGTCCAAACACCCCGTGCCTTCCCAGCCCACAGACCCTACCTCAGCAACTCCAGGCTTTGGAACAGGCCCTGGCTAAATGCCAGCTCCTCGGGAGACCCCCGCCTCCCATCCGTGGCCCCGCCCTCCCATGGCCCCGCCCCTTTCGAAGCTGTACCAGCAAGGCCTCTTTCCGCAGCTTTTTGAATGTGGCCATGTCCATGCTTATGTTCTGCCGAATAAGAGCCCGCAAGTCCTCCGTGGAGGCCCCACCTGTGCCCCGGGGAGAGGGACCCTTAGCGTGAGACCTCACAACTCACCCCCGTCTCATCCTGGGACCACAGGCTACAAGAACCCTACTTCCTTTACAGAGATTCCCTTTTCCTAAGGAATTCCTAGGCTGAGGTTTGCCTAGTGATCACTGATCCTCCCTGTCAGGGGAGAAGCTGGAAGTGGTCAAGTGCCTGAGCAGAGGTCAGAACTAACAGGGCCTCGGCCTGTACACACTTGGTGGAGGGCACCCGGACCCCCTGTCACACCACCAGCAGGCAGCCCAGGGAGGTGAGGACCAGGCAGCACTGATGGGGGCCTCAGGCATCCCACCTGCCTTGTCCTCCCAGCTCACCCAGGAAGGGCTTGATCCTTGCAAAGTATTCGGACCCACTCATGTTCTGGAAAGCGATGTGGGCCTTAGGATAGAGGACATCCATCTGCAGTGGGCGGCACGTGTCCAGGTCCTGGGGCCTAATCGCCCTGGGGAGACAGGGTAGGGCCAAGCAGTGAGCTCAGAGCACAGCATGCCCACCACACCCGCAGAACCCCGTGACTCACCACACAACATCTTGTTGCACAGAGCTCAGCTGCTCAGGACTGAGGGAGCAGAGGTAGGCAGGATGGAAGCTGGACAACATATCCAGGGTGGCCTTGTCCAGCTGGCCCCCTACCACCACATAGCGCGCAATCAGGGCAGCCACCTGTGGGAAGAGGCCAGTGAGGTGCCCTGAGCCAGGGAGAGCTTAGTCCCCTAGGCCTGCACAACCTCACACCACGTGCTCCCCTGGGCCTGCACAACCTCACACCACATGCTCCCCTGGGCCTGCACAACTTCACACCATGTGCTCCCCCATCAGACCTGCACAACCTCACACCATGTGCTCCCCTGGGCCTGCACAACCTCACACCACATGCTTCCCTGGGTCTGCACAACCTCACACCATGTGCTCCCCTGGGCCTGCACAACCTCATAGCATGTGCTCCCCTCCCAACAGGTGGTCACCTGAGCATCCACTTTGCGCCCTTTGCTGACTTTAAGCAGCGATTTCACGGTCTCCAGGGATGTCACATTCCACTTGTGGATGTTCTCGGGGGTGACCTCAAGGAAGAAGTAACTCAGGCTCTGGATCAGGGATTCAGGGTACCCCTGTGGGTAGAGCTGCCAGGAGAAGTGACCGTGAGGGCCATAGCCATGCCCCAGGCGGCTGGGGGAGGCTGCAGCACAGCAGGCAGGCAGGAGCCCAAGTCATGAACTACCTGGTCCAATTTCTGCTTAAAAATGTTAAGCTGCTGATAGGTGAAGGGAAGTGCATTCACCCGGTCCATCTGCTTGGCCAACAGGGCCCCGTCCACACAGGCCTCCAGCTCCCACTCCTTATAGAAGATGAGGTCTTCGTCCACCACATGGACCTCCCTCCCCGGCGGGCAGGCCTTCTCTACAGGGGCAGGCAGGGGGTCAGGGGGAGGGCTTTTCCCGTCAACCTCCTCTTCCTCCCACATCCATGCTGAGACCCTGGGCAATGCATGGCGCTCTCCAGGCCTCAGTTTACCCAGTGGCAAAATGGGACGATTCTGTCCACTCTTCAAAGTTGTCACAATTGAACAAGCTGAGCAGCCAGGAAGAGCCAAAGCACCAGCTGGTGAGACCCCCAGTGCCAACCCTCCAGTCCCAGGTCCCCCAACATCCGACGGGGCTGGGCCCTATGCTCACTTTCTGTGCCCCGCAGGGCCCTCCGGAGGATAACAGTTAGCTCAGGCCGCTGCCAGGACAGGTCCTGGGAGGTGCGTTGCAGCCATAGGCTCATGACACCCTGAGGACAGAACAGGGCTGTGGCTGAGCCATGCATGGCCCAGCGTCCAAGGACCCCCACCCAGGGCCAGAAAACCCTCCCCTGTCTCCCCAGAGGGTCCTTACCTGTCCTGTGTCTGCAGTCTGGGCCCTGGAATGTAGCACCCAACCTGCAGGGCAGGGGTACAAGTCTCGAGGGGATAGCCAGGGGCTTCTGGGTGTGCCTACTGTAGGCCCTCCCCTGCGGAGGAAGGAGGCAAAGCCAACCCCTCCCTGGCCCCCAGCCCCAAACACACCCCACAGGTGTGGAAGCAGAGGGTTAGGCCCCTGTACCCCATGATGCCACAGCCCGCCACGCCACACCCCAGGCTAGGGCCTGCACCCCACAGGGAGCCCAGGCCTCCCACATCCTCCGCTGGGACCCCACTGCTCAGGGCAGTCAGACACCTGACCTATGGACACCGTCACTTTGGCCTTAGCCCCCATCACATCACTGCCCTGGTTCAGCCTCCAACCCTGTGGGGCATGGCAGCTTGAAGAGATATGGCTGACAACAGGCTCGGAGCTCCGGCACCTGCTGAGATTCAGGACCCTGCCTGAACTTGGAACACCTGCTGAGGTTTGAGACATCTGCCCAGGACTCAGGGCACCTGCTGAGATTTGGGACACCTGCAGGGACTTGAGGCATCTGCCCAGGACAAGGACAGGGTCACTGCCCACAGACCAGGGAAGAGGCAAGGGGCAGGGAGAGCCTTTCCTAAGGTCCCGACCCCCTAAGAACCCTCGGCTGCCCTCTGACACTCTTGCACTCCAACTCTTTGCAGCACCCCACCCCCATTACTCACTGAGGCTGAGGAGCAGGAGCAGGAGGCTGCCGTGGGTGGGGGTCCCACAGGACCCCAGGGGGTATCGAGCACACTGCAAGGCCATGGTCTGTGGAAGACAGCCACTCTGATGTCCCCACCAATCCCTCACTAATGCCCCTGCCCCCAGCCAGTGCAGGGGTCTCAGAGTTCCAGAGGTGCTCTAGGTCAAATCTTCTCAGGCACCTGTAGCAACATCTGTGTGTCCTCCAGCCCTGCTCTCAGGACCAACCAGCCTGTCTGACCTGTCCCCTCCAGGAAACCAGCCCCTCCTGCCAGGGGGTGTGGGGTCTGAGTCAGCCCAGCCCCTAGCTGTGAGAGCCCAGGCAGGCAGACTGCAGCTGGCACCATTCCCTCTCCCCACAAGGGTAGGGTGGGCGAGTTAAGTTTGAGAAGGCAGGACCATCTGGCCTGAGTTTCACCATTCGTAACAGGGGGACTGAGCAGTTCAGGGCTAGGGGTCATG